TACATAAAGTATTTTTTTCGATCCGTATTTTTTACCCAATTTTTTTATCTGCCTTTTTAAAATAAAAATGATTTATTTCTAATTTTATGGTGAGTTGATATATTGATATTCCCCAACTTGCTGACTATGAAACATATACCCACAAGAAGGAACACAAAAGCTTAATTTTGATGATAATTCTGTTTTTGGTACCCTGTTATTTTACCACCTAGTCTGAACCCATTTAAAGTAAATTTTTACCCAAGGGAGCAAATGAATAGTTTGCTACCTTGGAAGCATAGTATACAAGCCCCCAAGTTAATGCTCCAAAAAAAAAAAAAAAAAAGGTGCGCCTTGTGAGTGAACCATACTCTATACCAGTGTTTGTAAAATTGAACAGGAACGGTTAACCAGACATGGGCCTGGAAGCGGTTTAACCGGCCTAATGGGTAAACCGGCCGATTCAAGTGCTCTAACCGGACAAGTTCTGGGTGGTCAAAAGTTCTGGGTGGTCAAAAAGTGAAAAAAACAAAATTTTCTACTAAAGTGTGAAAAACATATAAAGAACGATTAAAACAAAACACATTCAAATGAAGTTGAAAATTAATAAAAAAATAGATTTTAACCCATTTTATATTTTCCAAGTGCCATTTTTAAAATTTTCTAAAAAAGATGGGAAAATATAAAAGTGAGTATTACAAGTCAAATTCCTTATTTTTGAGAATTTATATATATTTTTTAAAAGTTTTTTTAAAAATATCGTTTGATCACCCTTACCGCCCAAAACCGGAACCGGCCACTAGCCGGTTAGCGGTTAGATCGGGTGATTTTGAGAATCCCCCACATGTGGATGTCTATAGTAAAACGGAAAACAAAATACCTCATGGGCATGCTTGTGCTTGGAAAAAAGTTTTTCCCTTGAAAATTTGTTTATTTTGGAAAATAATTTTGATTGTCTTGTACAAATTTCATTATTATCATCATCAAAGCTTTATCCCAATTATTTGGAGTCATCTATACCAATCATACTTTACCATTCAAGATTCATGAAAAGTTGTAGCAAAATTTTATGCTGGCTGCCGATCAAACACAACTGTCCTCCTATATTTTGGGGGGGGATGGGGTAAGTCAATGGGGAAGAAGGCCCCTACCCATTTTTAATTAATACCTTAAAAAAAGAGAAGGTTACAACTCGTTTCTTTACAACCTTGAAAGAGGTCACCTGTGACCGATTATAAAATAAAGCCATAGAAATAAAAATAGAAACAAAATTGGACGGACGAAAACGTCAAATAATAGCTTATAAATGAGATGCAATTCATTTTACAAGAATATCAGCCGCAATGTTAGACTCACGGAAAATATGGTTGATGGACCACCCACAATTAATAATGTGTTAACTGCAATTTCGCTTGTACGAATGTAAGAAACCTCCCTGTACGAATGCCGGAAAGATAAATGGTCTGCAATCTCTAAAAAAGGGATAGGGGAGAAAACATAAGCTTTTGAAATTTCCAAATAGCTGATGATAAAAATGACATTCATCCTGAAAAAAAAGTGGGAAAAAATAAGAAAATAGGAAAGGACTTTTTTCAACATGACAACGCTCTGCAACCACTTGGCCATATTTTCAAGATGAGGCAATTGCCAAGGCATTGCAACAAAAATTCCTAATTCCCGCTACTACGTTTTCATTCAAACAATATTGCTTGCACACAAGGCAAGACGATACCCAAATGACGCGCATAGCCTACTCCATCTCCATGTCATTTTCTAATCTTTATAAAATTAGGATAAAGCAATACATGTATTTGCCCTCTTTAAAGCTTGTGCAATAAAAGTGCCGTATGGCAGTCATGTCCATAATAATACGCAACAATTTTTTTAAAAATATATAGATTGGCAGTCCTCCACCATAAAAGTCCATACTAAATATGGCAATTACATACTGGTTCAAATTTGTGAATAATTTTAAGTAGAAGTCCATCTATTTATTATTATTATTTTTTTGTTTATTTTTCAATTTTCCTCCACAGCTCAATGTTTCAAATATTGGACTGGCCAATACCTCAAAATTTTGTTAACATACATAGTTTGACGTTGGAGATATCAAACCAAAATTTTCAAAAAAATAGCAAATAGAAGGTCTTACGTCTCTAATATCGGACTTACCCAACAACCCAAGTAATACTTCCACTAATATCAATTGTTCTAAATGGTCTGCTGGACCACAAAAGTTGATGACCACAAAAGTTGATAAAAAAACTTTGCGGTTTCGTTGATCCCATGAACACTTTCTTACTTTTCCCAAATGGCGAGTTTATATAAGCTCTTAAGCTTCAAGAAAATTTGCCAAAATTTTTAAAGGTATTTGTGGTACACTGGGGCCTTTCTAGTCGGGCAAACCACCTAGGATATAAAGAGAATGAAAAGCATCATGTTGGGTACATCCGATATCCGAGATATCGGAAAATTTTCATTTGATATTTCCAACATCGAGCCATGTACTTAATAAAAATGATGAATTATTAGCATGTCCGATGTTTCTAACATCGGACCACTTTGTACACTTCAACAAAACCGAAAAAAATGCACATAAAAAGCACTAGTATGTTGTAAATATCGGACTAGTGTATCTCCACATAAATTTTCCATACATTTGAATAAGAGTATAACTAACATATTTAAATATGGTACAAATACGAATAAATGAATATTTGCTTTTGTATATTTATTATTTGATGGAAAATGTTTCGATAATGCTACAACTCTATCAAAGTAAGTACAGTCTCAACTCAAAACTCACCAAAAATTGTAGTTTTGGAGTCATAAAACTGTTAAATTGATCATCTTGGCCTTAACCATTATGGTTGTGAAAATAAATTAAGATTTCGTTCCCTAAAAATAATGTATATTATAACACATTTTCTATACCGTCTATTTCGCCCTAAAAATAAGTGTTCACGGATCTGTAAGATCTATACTATTCTTCGAGCTTCAAATTTCACAATGGATGTTTGGAAATTGATTTTAAAGCTACTGTAGAAATTTATGATGCCGAAAATGCTTTTCGGAAGAAGATTCGAGGCGAGCTTTACTTTATTTTTATAAAGCCTAGGTCTCAGAAACTGCATCCTTATTTGATTGTCATATGCAACGTTTGGGTATGGGTTCCTCTCCAGTCTAGAGAAAAAAATACATTTTCGGTGAGAAAAGGTGGTACTCACGAGGGATAAAATCGTATTTTTTCTCTACATGAATATAATACTAGGAATCAAAATATTTAATGGTAAATGAAGAAAAAACTCTACGCAATGCCTATAGCTGAAAATTCGTTTATGTCCATCACCATCCAAAGTTTATCGTATGGTCACAATTGTTTGTTAGTATTTCATTTTTCATATTTTTCTAGAAATCAGAATGATTTGAAATTTGGAGCGTGTTTTCATCAAAATAGGAGAATCTAATAAAAATATAAACAAAATAATTCACAAAATATAAATTGATCAAAATACCTCTGACAAATTTAGGGGTATTTTAGTCAATTTATATTTTACGAAATATTTTTTTCATATTTTTATTAGGTACGATTCACTTAGATGTACATACACTCCAAATTTCATATCATTCCAATTTATAGAAAAAAATGAAAAATGAAACACTACCGAAAAATCGTGACCGTACGATGAACTGTTCATTTTTTGCCTATAGGCGTTGGGAAGACTTTTCCTAAAAAAAAATGTTAAAAGTTTTAATAGATTAAAGAGTCAGATTTGTAAACAGTGGCCTCTTTATACTATATAGAAGGTGCACCTTTAAAATTTGCTTGGACATGTGGTTATGGTATCAAAGACTTTTTCATGGCGGGAAATCTATTTTGTCTAGTAATGAAATTTAAAATATAAAAAATAGTACAATCAAGCATTATCTAAAAATGCTTAAAAATCTTAAAAATAGTACAAATCAAGCATTATCTAAAAAAAAAAGTATAAAAAGAGACCATTTATCTTTTGTACAAGGTGGTCACATTAATCTTGACCGTTGAATGTGAAATTAGGTGGCTGCAATTATTCCATTGCTCAAGCTCAAATTTCAAAAGATATTTTCTCGAACTTTGTGACACATCAAACTATCAAAATTCACATCGGATGGTTGTAAGTAATTGTGACTACCTTGTATCAAAAGTAAATGGTCACATTGTCTACACTCTTTATCTGAAAACACTTAAAAATCTTTAAAATAGATTTGTCCAAATAACTTATTACCAGATGCATTATGTTTAGGATTTAAAATTACTTTTGAATTAATATCCGCACATCCCGAGGTTGAGATGAACAATTAAATGATTCTCCTATTTCAGAACACTATTCTAGAGGATTGTTTAAGCATGCCATAATTTAATAGTATAAAATTGCAAGCTTATAATAAACTTTTTCCTAAATTGAATTCATAAAAGAATTTATTAAAGTGATAATTTTCTTTTCATTTGCTTAAATTTTAAACTTTCTCTTGGTATTATGCTCATATTATGTAAGTACGAGTTTAGTTGATTTGAACGAGTTTTTTATGCACTTGTTTGGAATCCACAGACTTCAAGATCCCATGCTCACCCATTTTAATGAAGAAGGTGAGTTCGAGCTTCTGCTGAAGACTACCATCATTCAAAATTCAAATCTTCTGAGTTTTATGAATTCGGTTTCTCCGTAATTTCATTAAATTGTTGTCAATCTTTACTTTTGGATCCCTGAATTAGGGTAAGAGTATAATTAAGCTTGCCTTTTAATGTATTCGAATAACATCAAATAATATGATGCTAGTGTTAGATTTAGAGAAGATGTTGAGTTTAAGAACAATTTAGAAAGAGGAACTATCTTGATCAATTCACATTAACAAGGAATGAAACCCTAAAAGGGTTTATATACAAATACAAATTTAGTGTAGACCACATTATCCCTATAGAAATATATAATGACAATAAAAAAATTATGAAAATTATACATTTTATTTTTGTATACACATTATTATCTCCCTTCAAGCTGATGCAGACATGAGTAAAGCATTAGCTTATCCATTAGAAAATCATGACAGATCCGAGTAACAAATTTGGTGAAAATATCAGTCGTTTGCATAGTAGAATAAACATAAAGGAGAAATAATGTACCATCAAGATAGCGATCACGAACATAATGACAATCTACGTTAATATGCTTGGTCCGCACATGAAATACTGGATTAGATGTAATCTTAATCGCACTTTGGTCATCTGCATATAAAGGTGTAGGATTTGAAATAAAGATACCAAACTCATTGAGAAGAGCACGAACCCAAACAATCTCACTAGCAACAAAGGACATGACACAATACTCAGCTTCAATGCTTGACTTGTAAACAATGTCATGTTTCTTGCTCTTCCATGATATTAATGATGACCCAAGGAACACACAATATCGTGTAGTAGAATGGCAAGTGTCTAGATCACCTACCCAATCTGCATCTTCATATGCACTTAGATCTAAAGAGGGTGTGGAGTCAAAGAATAATCCACGAATGGAAGTACCTCGAGCGTAACGTAAAATTCGATAAACTGCTGATAGATGTGGTCGTAGAGGATCTGAAAAAAATTGATTTATAACGTGGACAACATATGCAATATTTGGGCGAGTCATAGTGAGATAGATGAGGGAGCCGACAAGTTTGCGATACATCGTAGGCTTAAGAAGAGGATCTCCAACATGTGTAGAAAGTTTAACATTGAGTTCCATGGGTATATCAACAACCTTCGCATCATTCAATCGGGCACTGGAAACAAGATCAAGTGCATACTTCTGTTGATAGATGTAAATACCACGTTTAGAGCGAGAGATCTCAAGACCAACAAAATAAGATACTTTCCCAAGATCCTTCATTTGAAATTCTTCTTGCAATCGTACCTTCACATTCTTGATGGAATTGAAATCATTACCAAAGATAAAAATATCGTCAACGTATAATAAAATAAAACAAATTTCATGCTTTGTGGTATGAATAAACATAGAGTGATCATGTTTACTTTGAGTGAAGCCAGTTATAAGAATGACATCCTGTAAATACTTAAACCATGCACGAGGAGCTTGTTTGAGACCGTAAATTGGTTTACGAAGTCGACAAACCAATGACATATCTTGAGAAACAAACTCAGGTGGTTGACGCATGTAAACTTCCTCTTGAAGGTCACCATTACGGAATGTATTTTTAATATCCATCTGCCATATGGGCTACTCACGAATGGATGTGAGTGCAATAAATGTGGAGCAAACGTTTCATTATAATCGATGCCATGCTCTTGGGTATAACCCTGAGAACCTAATCAGGCCTTGTGTTGATTAAAAGTGTCATCAGCTCTTAACTTGACTTTATAAACCCATTTATTATTAATGACATGCTTATCTGGGGCAGTGACACCAAATCCCAAATGTGATTTGCTTTTAAAGCTGCAATTTTCTCATTCATAGCTATACGCCATCATTGGAGGTTAGATGCCTGAGAATAACAAGATCGCTTATGAAACAATGGATTAGTAATGGTTGCAGTAGATCAAGTATGGTATGGGCTAACCACTGGTAAGTTAAGACGATTTGGTGGAACAGGCTTTTGAAGTGACCATCGAAGGTAAACATGACCGGTAGAAGGATCAACAATTGGAGGTGATGCATGATCAACACTTGATAAAGATGGCTCATCAGAGTTAGTTACTGAATGTGGTAATCCCTGATTTTCATGATAATGAGAAGGAGGAATATCGAAACTAGGAAAAAAAGAAAACTCAGGTCCATGTGTGGTTGAATTAGGGTGTGGGCAGTGCTAGTGGAATGGTATGTGCTCGAAACAAGTAACATGTTGGGATATTCTAACACAATTAATAGAAGAATCAAAACAACAATATCCTTTTTGATTTGTTAGATAACCTACGAAAACGCATTTCACAGACTTAGGTAAGAGTTTATCACGGGTAGAAGATGGTAAAAGCACAAAACATGTGCACTCGAACATACGTAAATGTGAGTAATGAGGGGGTTTTTGAAAAAGCTTTTGAAATGGTGGCACATTTTGCAAAATCTGTGTAGGAAGAAGATTAACAGGATAGACAACAATAGACATCGTTTCAGCTCAAATATTCTCTGGGGAATGAGAGATAATAAGAAGAGAACGAGTGGTTTCAAGAATATGGCGGTGTTTTTTTTCAGCAACTCCATTCTATTCCCGGGTATGTGGACATGAACGTTGATGAATAATGCCATTTGTACGAAGATATACTTGAAATTCATTGCATAGGTACTTCCCCCCAAAATCAGACCTAAAAACTTTAATATTTTTCTCAAATTGATTTTTTTATCATATTATGGAAATCCTTAAAAGCACTAAATACACTTGACTTGTGTTTGAGAAAATAAATCCAAGTATATTTAGCAAAATCATCTATAAATATCACATAATAAGAATATCTTTGTTAGGGAAAATGGTATATTTAGAATATCTTGAACATAATTGGTGATAGAGAATTTGGATGTGGCTAAGGCCACATCAGTGACACCTTATGATATGGATTTGCAAATTCCAAGAGAGCTTAAGCAAGTTTTTTCAGCAAGGAGATCTGAGAGGCAATCATCTAATAATGGAGTGGGAGTACGATGAAAGATTGATGCTCTCATGCTTTCAAACTCTGATCGCAACCCCATAAGGAAGTGAAATAAATGAGACCGATTTCGTGCTTTAGTAACAGCTTTAGTGGGTGACTTGGTTTCCATCAAGGCCATCTCATTCCATATACCTGAAAGAGTATTAAAATAATCTTAAAATGGTGAGTCCCCTTGTCGTGTCTTCATGCTGTCCTGTTTAAGGGTATACATACAGAAAATATTTGCTTGAGAATAAATCTTCTGTAAGTAATCCCACATTGCTTTGGCACTAGATTGATACGTAAGGTTACGCCCAATTGTGGGCTCAACTGAGTTCATAATCCATATCACAATAAAGCTATTTATGGCAAGCCAATCACTACGCTCATTTTCATCCTTAAGCTGGAGAACAGAACCATCAAGATAACCCCATAACTTCCATCCCATGAGAAAACGTTTTATTTGGAAAGACCACAAACAGTAGTTCTTCACCATCAAGATGCATAGAAATAGTAGCACTATCTATATTATTTTTACACTCCATAGATAATTTTTTTTTTTGAGACAGTTTGTCTTTAGAAAAGTTAGCAAAGGAAAAGCGATCAACTAGAGGAAGCAAAGGGAATAAATTTGAGATACTATAAGAAATTTTTTTTGCTTTGACCAGATCTTTTCTAGAGAGAGAAATTGATAATTTCAATGGAAGACTGTTGTTGTGGAAGAGCACAACAGGAAAATAAAAAATTGTATGCACAAAGAGATTAATTGTCCAGGGTTGCAAAGAGATTTTGCATAATAAATTTTGCAAGCATCAACGATTAAAGAGATTTGCTAAGCAAATCTTTGCAGTGGAGATATGCAAGGAAAAGGCGCACACATAAGGGAAAATGAATCAAAAGGTGTCAAGAATAGGAGAGATACTCTGACCTGTGAATAAAACAACTTTCTCTTTCTAGTTTGCAATGAAGAATGAAGTTTGCACAACTTTCTCTCTCTAGGTGTCAAGAATGGGAGAGATGAATTGAACAATGAAGTTTGCAACGAATTTGCAACGAAGTTTGCATATGCGAGTGCTGCAAATTAGCAGCGAAGAGTTTATGCAATGATATGCAACGAAGGGTTTCAAATATGCAGATGCATTGAAAAAGTTGTAAATTTGCAATGAAAATTTGCATACAAAAATTTGAGAGATCAAAATTTATTTGATTACTGACCTTCACAAAAAGAGCATTTTATGAGCAGCAATAGAGAAGAGATGATCGGATCTTTGAAGCTCTGATACCATGTTAGATTTAGAGAAGATGTAGAGGTCAAGAAGAATTTAGAGAGAAAAACTATCTTGATCAATTCACATTAACAAGAAATGAAACCCTAAAAGGGTTTATATACAAATGCAAATTTAGTATAGACCACATTATCCCTACACAAATATACAATGACAATAAAAGACAATTGAAAATTATAAAAATTATACATTTTATTTTTGTATACACATTATTAGCGGGCCCCAAAGTTTTTCCTCCTAGTTCAAAACAAATGGAGCAAAGTTACAATACTTAACTATTGCAACAATAGTAAGTAGTTCCAAGGTTAGGGAAGTCCATCTGGTTTTTCAATTATAAGATCCTTTTTGTTTCGTCAATAGAACAAGCATGGAACTTAAGAAATGCTAGATAACAAAGATATTCTCTCTCTCTCTCTATATATATATATATATATGCAAATCACTGAGTGGAAAGATTTCTGCAGTTATTGTTTGTGTGTACTGTAAGTACTCTCTCTTTTCATTCAGTTTGTTTTAGTTTGCTTTAGTCTGTAACAATTATTTAAGATTGTTTGTAACAGTTTGTTAGTTTCAGTTGGCCTATAAGTTTGAAATTTGTGTAAACAGTTTGAATCTTGATTTGTTTGTAACAGATTATGATTATAAATGTTTAAAGTGTTTGAGTGAGTTGGTATGATGATATATCAGACTACTTATAATACTTGGATTACTATTGATATTACTCCTCTATCTCTCATAATCATTTTAATGTTAGGTCTCTATTTCGGTTATTTAAGGTTGATAGTTTAATTCTAGGTCGTATAGTTAAAGGTTAAATCATTGGTAGATCTTGCGGTGAATTGGTATCAGAGTCAAACCATCTTCTTCTTTAAAGAGTATCCAAAAGAATACTACTAATAAGAGTAATACTTTAGGAGATAGAAACCTAATTAAATTCCTTCATTTGAGAAAGTTGGTCCGAGAGTTGAGGCCATAAAGCATCCAGTCGAGAGACCGTTAAGGCCAAGAGAGCCGCTGAGGTCAAAAACACGTAAGAGATAGCTAAGAGCACTCATCCGCAACCTAATAATGGAGAATTTCATTAGGAATCTATCAAATAAAGCATGACCCAAACTAGTAATACTCTAAGGATCAAAAATAAAGAAGAAATAGTAATTGATAATATCGAAAAACAAATACAAAACTGGAATAAACCTAGAGTCCCTATAAGTGATATATATAAGAAATGATCGTTCAACTTCAAAGTAGGTTATGCTATAAAAACCGTAGAACAAACTTTGTCTGTAACAAGTACCCAGGAAGACTTTCAGTTATTAACTAATAAAATAATACAGTCCCATAATGATAAAAGTTACAATTATCTTCAAATAGGTTTAATACAGGTAGCCATTAAACCATTAACAAGGTTAGGACTTAATAATTCAATACTACACTAGACATAATAAGTTTAATGATTCCCTATTAGGTATGGTAGAATCTAGTCTATGTAGTAGTCCAATATATTTTAATTGCTTCCCTAATTATTCTATATCACTAAAGGATCCAAATATTCTCAAAGTATTAACCTTAAACCTAAAAACCTAAGGTTTTGATATGATCCCAGGATCCCAAAATATAGCCATCGTTTATAGAATATATTATAAGGTCATGACCACATTATGTCCTAATGTTTTACAACATGATACAAGAGGAAAGACAATATTCTTCCAAACCAATATCGAGAAATCCAATATTATTATACCAAAAACCATAGAATGGTTAGAAATTACCTTACCTGAATCTTGGTCAATATATAATTAAAACCATCAGTACCAAGCCCCAATAATACATAATATTCCTGAAAATATTATAGAAAATCCTAATGGTAAAATAGAAATTCGATTTACCAATAGTAGAGGAACTAATAGTAAAGATGATTCTGAAATAAAACCATCTACTAAACCTATAATAGAATTACCAAGAAGTTTTACCTCCTCTATAAACCCAAAATTAGAAAGCTTATATAGGACAAGAGAAAATATTGTCATCCCACAATATAGGTCAGTACAAAAATCTGAACCAGATTTAACAGACTCAAAAATGGATTTTCAAGTCTTAACTCTTCAAAAAGTGGAACGACTTAATAAACAATTTATTGAACAAGATTATTTATCTGAAGAAAATAGGGCAATAAGAACTTGGTATAAACAACATTTTCAACCCAGATTAGTAGAAATATTCCATATAAAATATAATAAGGCGCGAAAAAGAGAAAGATATAATAAAGGATTTTTTGTATGGTTAAGAGAAATATTTAAAGAAAAGAAAACACATATTCCTAATTTTGAAGTAAATACAATACAAAGTCGATATACTTCATAATGAACAACCGATGGAAATACAATGACAAGTATTCACCCTCTTGAAAAAAGTATTGTTATAAAAGGATCAAATCCAGAATTAAAATTAGAAACAAAAGCTACACCATATAAAATGACCACAGGAGAAATAGTACATAAAGCTGGATTAATCCCACATGTAATAGAACAAAATAACTATACAAATTTATATATGCAATCTTTAGGAAGACAAGCATCCATAATTGGAAATATGTTAAGACCTATACCCATACAAGAAACCAAAAATGTCTTATTTAAACCACCTCCATCACTTGACAAAGAAAGATTTAATTTTGGAGAAGATAATCAGACCCTAATGGACCAATTAATATCAAAATTATCTAAATTAGAAATACAAGAGAAAACTCTAAAAATTCAAGAAAAAGGAAAAGAGAAAATTACTACAGAAATCTTTGAAACATCTACGTTAACCTTACAAGAAGAAACACCTATAAGTGCTGACACAATAGAAAATATGGAAGAAGCTTTTACGGAAAATAGTCATACTCCAGATACTAATAATATTCAAAGAATAGTATATGGAAAATCATGGAAACCATTAACAGCTAGACCTTATCATCATAAAACGACCCTGTCGATATACAATTCGAAGAAGACTTAGTAGCCCAAAATATTTCTTATTTCGGAAGATCAATAGTAAATTGGAATATAGATGGATTGGCTGAACAAAAAGTATTAGACACCATGAAATATATGACCATGTATGCTTTTGCATGCAAAATGGTAGGCAACCATGATCAGGAAGTTGCCAAAGCCATTGTCTGTGGCTTCACAGGATGGCTTCGAGGTTGGTGGGATTTTCACTTACTTGAAAATACCAAACAACAGATTCTGAATAATACTCGTCAATGGACTGTTAAAAATGAAACTAATCAAGATGTCCTATATTCCGAAAGTGATGCTGTCAATACTCTCATTTACACCATCACCCTTCATTTTGAGGGGAGTACAGCCTTACTTGAAGCTCGATCTGAAGATTTATTATCTAATTTAAGATGTCCAACGCTATCTCATTATAAATGGTACAAAGATGTTTTCTTTTCTAGACTATTAAGCAGAGAGGATAGCCAACAGGATCATTAGAAAGAAAAATTTGTGGCTGGATTACCTTATTTATTTGCTGAAAAAGTAAAAACTAGATTAAAAAATATGAATGGAAGAATAATACCATATTCTGTCTATACATTAGGAGAATTATCTGCAGAAATATGTGCATAGGGATTAGCCTTATGCACAGACATGAAATTAAAGAAACAATTAGATAAACAGAAGACGACTGGTAAAAAAGAATTAGGAGACTTCTGTGAAAAATTCGGATATCATATAGAAAACTCTAAGGATAAATTTCATAAAAAGAAAAGATATAAGTCAGAAAGAAAGGATAAGAAATCTTATAAAAAATATAAAAAAGAAAAATTTATAAAGAGATTCTCTCCAAAATACAAATATCATAAAGGTAAAAGGAAATTACCTGTATGTTATAAATGCGGAAAAGTTGGCCATTATAAAAGCTAATGCAAAGTAAAAAAGAAAATAGATAGAATAATCTTAGAAGAATCCATTAGAAATAAACTATATGATATAATACCAATATATGATGATAACTCTTCTGAAACTTTCACTGATACTTCTTTGGTAGGACAAATAGAAGATGAAGAATATTTTACGTTCTCCACAGAACAATTTGAATCTGAACAAAACATGGAAGAATGTTCTTGTAATATGTTATCAAAAGAGGATACATTAATTTTAGACCTCATAGAAAAAATCAATGATCCAGAATTATTACCCAATTTATTACATTAACAAAAGAAAAAAATAAACCAGTCCCATTACTCAAACCTCCAGAAGATTATAATTTTGCTGAAATACTCAAACGAATTAATAAAAAAGATATACTCCAAAGAGAACCCACAATATCTGAATTGAAAAAAGAAGTAAATGACATAAAAACAGAAGTAGGACAACTAAAGACCAGAATTAAAATATTGGAATTACAAATTGACATATCAGGAACCATAACTGATACAGATGAAATTGAATTTGACCAACTAGCAGATCCAAGTCAAATAGAACCCGAAACTTCAGGAACAAAAGAAGTTGAAGAAAATATATCTTTAAATCTAGTAAATAAAATTATTTCACAAAAATGGTTTATATTAGTAAAAATTGTCATCCAAGAAGAATATAATTTTCAAACCTTGGCTTTAGTAGATTCTGGTGCAGACTTAAATTGTATTAATGAAGGTTTAGTCCCATCCAAATATTTTGATAAAACCACTCAAATACTTAATACTGCTGATGGTAGTAGATTATTTATTAAATACAAATTATCAAATGCCATGGTATGCAATAATGGACACTGTTTTCCAACACCTTTTATTATGATAAAAAATTTAAGTCAGGTAGTCATACTTGGAATCCCATTTCTAACATTACTTTATCCCATAACAATTAATAAAACAGGGATAGAAACATCTAGAGTAGGACAAACAATTAAGTTTGAATTTTTAGAAAAACCAAAACTCAAAGAAATAAATAGAGTCAAAGATAAAATTGATAATAAGGAAAAGTTTTTATGTTCCCTTAAAATAGAAATAAAATATAAACAAGCAGAAACAGATTCGGAAAAACTCGAAATAATA